CTCCTCTCTTTTTAAATTCTCTCATGGGTGACCAGTTGTGACGTTTTCTGTGTTTGTAATGGCAGCCGGTAAACCTGTTTGTGTGGGATATATATTATTTAATTCAGCCCCCAAACCTGCTTCAATTTTCCTTTAATATAAATACAATTCAGTAGCTGATTAATTCTTCAATTATCTTCTTTTCTGCTTTGTCTCTGCATGCATGTGCGTATATATAATTAAACTCAGCAACATCAATTTCTTGACTCTCCCAAGATGCCCAATTTTTGAGTGTTTAAATGTGTATGTCTTCTGCGGCCAGCTCCTCTTCTCCTGTGCATATATACATATATATATGGAGACTTTTACTCATGGATCCCTAATTTTACAAGCTCAAACCCTAGCCCAACTCAACTATATATTGTTGCACTTCACGCCTTAACTTTTAGACGTATACAATTAAGTCCTTTTCGTTCATAGAATGCCTATTAAAATATAGAATCTAATACTAATAATCAATACTGATCACATTCTATGTACATTCAGGAAAGTTCGGCACCAAATAAAGGAAAGTGATCGAGCACAAGGCAAAGGGATAAGGCAGAGAGTGTGGTCGACATTCAGCAAGCTCAAACACAACAACATTCCATGTAGACACTGATCTCATATTTACAGTACCCCATGCCGGCAACATTCCCCTTAACACAATATTCCATCGCAACACCATTCTCCTTTTCAGATATATTGTCGTATTCAAATTTGGTCCCTCTTTCATCAACAAACATTATGTATAGTTCACAAGGTAAGAACAAAGTATGACATTTCAACTTCCGATGTATATTTATTTCATGCATGCAGCTATCAATGTTCTCATTGTATTGTAAGTCAAGTAATGCCATAATAATTTTTGCATTTACTGGACCAAGGTGGCTCAGGCAAGTGAGGGTCAAGTTGGATAATGATAAAGGTTTGGGCTTCCAATTGTTTTATCATTTGTGTTGAAATAGATGATGATGCCGAGTTTTTTTTTTTTTAAGGTCTTAATTATGGAAGAAGAGAAAATCTTGAAATGGTTATATTTCTTGTGAGAATTTTGTCTTTGGGAATATTTTTAGTTTGTCAAACTATGATCATGATTCTAACTTTTTCTTATTAATATATTTACTTATGAAGGAATTCTGGTCTCTTACGTAGGTAACACTGGAATCTGATGGCCCCCAATCGATAATTGATGTTAGTGGCCTTGGGGTATTAAAAAGTTGGGTATCAAAAGCTTGCTTATTATCTATTTTATCTCAAAGAGGGTTCTCAATTCATTGTTGTTCAGATTTATTAGGATCCCAGCAACTTTTTTGGAGATTGTATTGTGTAACCTTCAGGGTGCATGATGGGACTTATTTTGTAACCTTGTTTTTGGAGATTATATTCTATAACCTTTTTGGAGATCATTGTGATGAAAGAGAATGTTTTAGTTGTAATATTATGATGCAAATGCTAGTTTTCCATTTTTAATAAATGTTGAAATTGTGAAATCTTTAATAGTGCGGAGTATGACATGTTAAGGAAAAATCTTACTAGAAAAGAAATCATTGGGCTTTTTTTTTTTTTTTTTTTTTTTTTTTCTCTAAATGTTGCTTCAAATCGAACCAATTGAGATAGGGGGTGTAAATGGTTTTTTTTTTTTTTTTTTTCTCTAAATGTTGCTTCAAATCGAACCAATTGAGATAGGGGGTGTAAATGGTTTTTTTTTTTTTTTTTTTCTCTAAATGTTGCTTCAAATCGAACCAATTGAGATAGGGGGTGTAAATGGTTTTTTTTTTTTTTTTTTTCTCTAAATGTTGCTTCAAATCGAACCAATTGAGATAGGGGGTGTAAATGGTTTTTTTTTTTTTTTTTTTCTCTAAATGTTGCTTCAAATCGAACCAATTGAGATAGGGGGTGTAAATGGTTTTTTTTTTTTTTTTTTTCTCTAAATGTTGCTTCAAATCGAACCAATTGAGATAGGGGGTGTAAATGGTTTTTTTTTTTTTTTTTTTCTCTAAATGTTGCTTCAAATCGAACCAATTGAGATAGGGGGTGTAAATGGTTTTTTTTTTTTTTTTTTTCTCTAAATGTTGCTTCAAATCGAACCAATTGAGATAGGGGGTGTAAATGGTTTTTTTTTTTTTTTTTTTTTTTTTTTTTTGGCAGTGGATGACATTTTTGGTAAAACGTAATTCTACCTAGAAATTGCTTGATAGTTTCATTCGAGAGATATTATGTGATACATGCATGAACTAATGGAGTTGTTGCTAGGTTGTTCCCATTTTCCCGATCACTATTCTATTGATTATATGTGGAGAAACGTGTGAAAAGTGAATACTGGTAGTGACTTATATCTCATTTCAGAGTATCTTGTGATTTGCTTTGTAGGATTGTGAGAAAATGTTGTCATGTAGGATGACTTGGAAGGGAATGATGCCCCTATTTCTTTAAATGCATATTATTCTTTCAATTTCCACTACCAGCAGCATTCTCTGAATCCGAGCAATTCTTCCTCTACCTGAAGCTCTGGCATCCTAATTTAAGGCAATAAGTAATTTTGACTTCACTAATTTTGTCCAACGGGAATTTAATAGATGTGTGCTCTATAATTTTCCAACTCTTAACACTACATTTTCGAATTACACTTCAGAATGTTGCTCTATGTTGTGACTCTTGCATTGCATTACTGAGATGAGTAAATGGAGAATACACGTAGTTCTATAGTCCATGATTTCAATACAAGTAATACTAGGAGGCTGCACTTTTCATTACATAAGAGCCTCACAATATTGATACTAGGCTGCCAACAAATAATTCGACTGAGGATAGTGAACTTAAGTCAACATCATACATGCAAGGCTACAAAATATGCAATATACCCATTGACATTCGAATAGTTTACAAACAAAGATTAAATAGATTCGGGCATACTAATCCTACATATACAAAAGTGCATGTAATAACTCATTCGACTCGTATTACTAATTAAGTCGACCCTTTCCTTTGTGCATTTCACTCTGTACTGCCTTCTGCCTTGCATATCGTCACGTTCATCGAAATTCGAAGGTCTACTTCATCATTGAGGTGAATGCGAGATTGGAATATGCGTGATATATCGTCAACTTTTTCGTTTGCCGCATAATTAACTGAGACATTCCTGCAGCTAGAGGATTCATCACTTGATTTTTCTTTGACACCCCATTCCCAAAAACCACAATTGTCACTGCAGTAAAGAAATAAATGACCTTTATTGGCAGTCTCCTTTTCGACCATGAAGCACTTCTCGAATCAATGCTTACATGATGGACATCGGCGTTTCCTTAGACATGCGGCAAAGAAGTGGCTTTTAGATCTACAACCATAGGAATAAATGACAAAATTGGTATAACTAAATCCATATAAAGCTAAAAAAAAAAATGCAAGACTGAGTAATTTATTTCAAGAAAGAACATACATGATTTTCGAGCATGTTTGGCTTAGCTTGTTTTTAAAAAAGAAGCAAGAACAACTCACTAATTAAAAAAAAATAAAATCAAAAACCACTACAAAAGAATGAAATAAGAGATGATTTCACAACTATACCCTTGTAAATCAAACGACACTATTACATAAATGCCCAACATTTAATGGACCAGTAACTAAGATTCATCGTCTTCCCTCTGAAAGAAGAAAATGTGCTACCTATCGTACACTTAGTCAACAAAATAGAATCGTAACTTGCTTCTCTATGTGTCCTACTAGTAAAAATAAGGGTAAACGTGTCACTTGAGAATCATACCATTGAAAAAATAAATATCACAATATGAAAATTCTAGGCAACATCGAACCATCGACTCACCAAAGTTGGATGCCCAGTAACTCCAAGTCTTAAGAAGTAAAATGTGTACTAGTAGGTTTGAAATCAAACACATACAATTCATAGTTCATACACCACTATCTCATGTGAAAATTCATATATATAGATATATATAAGCCAATAGTAAACAAGCATACTAGATTTTACAGTTCTAGCAAAACCAGGAAGAACCCGTTGATTTTCTGCCATACATATTTAACATCAACCCCATTCACACACATATGTAATTTCTTTCTTCCCTCAAACTTTAGCCCTCAAGAAAAGTCTTCTAACATAGATGAATTAGCACGGATACAAGAGAATCTTGGAAAATGGAGAAAATTGGTGTTTCAACTACTGATTCTACAAAGAAAATTGAATCCATATGTTTACGCATCAAAGTTATGGTTTTTCTACCTGTGCAAAGCATAAAAGTTGAAATTGCGTAAGTGACGAAATCCGGTGCTGACTTTGCTACTGGCTGGAGATGGTCAAGCGTCTGGCGACGAAATGATAGATGGAGGAGTAGTCGGAGTGGAGGTGAAAACCATTAATGGAAAGAGTCAAGTTCCTTGAGTGAAACCTACTCTGTGGGCGAAGAATAATTGATGAATCACGAACGGAGAATAATTGGTGTGGACGGTGGGTGATTTGGGGGAAAAGGCGTGGACGGTGGGGTGAATTGGGGAAAATAGGCAGGAGATTTGCTGCCTGTTTGGGAGTGATTTTTTGGCCAAAAAAATTGATTTTTTGACCGTTATTTCACTATTTTAGCCGTCATATTTGATTTCTTCTCTCACACGTGGACCTCACTTTTTCTTAACGGTCAAAAAATTAATTATCAAAATCACTCCAAAACAAACTCTTGGTCAAAAAGGATTGATTAATTGGTCCTTTTGTTTTCCTTTTTTTTTTTTTGCTACGTCAGTCGGGATTTAATCTAGATTTTGTCTGGCCGTGTAGCGGGACTGTGAAACGAATAGGGAGAAAAATGTATTTTGAGAAGAACGGGAATCAAAGAGTGATATTGAAGTGGGTCCCACATGACTGAGAGCAACGCAATATTGCCACGTGTCATCCAATAAAAAATGTAGTGGGCCTTGCGGTCTACTGTATTCTTTCCTTCTTCCTCACAAGACACGCTTCATTCTCTCTCTCACTCAAAAAAACATTAAAAAAATAATAATAAAAATAAAAATCAGAATTTCTGACAGAATTCTCATTCAACTGCTCAAAAAAAAAATCTTTACATATTTCAAAGAAATATGTAAATTTTCTGCCTTGTAACTGTTTGTTTTTGGTCCAAATATCAAGGGGTAACTCGCATTTCTAGGGACGCTTCAGATCCGAAAATCTTTCTTTGTTTTTGTTTCATTTCATTTCTATCAAAAAGTTTTGTATCTTTGAATAAGAAAAAATCAGGGGCTGGTCAATTTACCGTAGATAATTGCGGAACAGCCATCCCAAACGTGGAATTAACGCTTCACATCGATTCAATTCTGTTTCTCAAAAAATAGTTTTATCATTTTCTCTTTGGTTTTTTCTTTTGGTAGTCTTGATTTTGTGGCAATGTGGGTTGTTTTTTGTTAAAAATATTGGTTTTCGAGATCTGGGCAGTGTTCAGAATCATTTTCTGTTGATACCTTACCGGAGCTTCTGAATTTATTTTGTAGGTATTTATTTTATATCTGATTTCATTGTGCAGTTTCTGTTCAGCAAAGAATTTTAGGGGCTTGATATTTGGATCCTCAAGTTTTATTGATTTAAGAATCTGGCTCCAATGTTTTGTTAATTCTGTAGTTTGTATACATTGGATATCAAGAGTTTGATTTTGTAGGGGTTAAGATTCGGATGCTACATTGGGCTATAGAATTTGATTATTACTAATTTAAGGATCTTTTGATTTATTGGAGTGTTTTTGGGGTGCATAGAATGCTGCTAAGATCACAGCTAAATGCTACGGGTATTTGGGAAAAATAAATTAGGTTTTTATTTTAGGAGTATAAAGTTTCAGATTAATAAGCACAAGAGATTGAAACTCTTAATTGGTATGGGCTGCATTTGCTCTAAAGGATCAAAAGATGAGAATCAAGTTAAGAAAGAGAGAGTATCGAAGAAATCTTCTAAAAGATTTGTATCTTCATCAAGAAAGGATGAACTTCTTGTGGATGTTGATAATGGAGGAAATGATGCAACAACAAGGCTCATATCGGAGGAGCATGCTGAGAAAAGTGCAGGCTCCACACCAGCTTTGTGGGACCAGGGGCAGAAAAAGCCCATAGTTTCTGATAAAACTGTGGTTCCCCATATGCAAAGACGGGCAACAATGGATGCTGGAGAGAGAGAAGGGAAGCCACAGATGTGTAGGGTATTTAGCACCCGAAATGGAATTGATGGGGCACAAGTTGTTGCTGGATGGCCATCATGGCTGACTGCCGTGGCTGGAGAGGCCATCAAAGGATGGGTACCTCGAAAGGCAGACTCATTCGAGAAGCTGGATAAGGTACAATAAAATGAAGATTTCCACCAATGGTACTTGAATATATACATATGTTTGTACCTCTAACTTCCATTTCGTTCTCATTTGTATGTTTGTTTACACACGTAAGTTTTTCTATCATCTTGTTTATTTGGCTTTCTGGCTTTCCATCGGTCAGATTCCACTGTTGTCGCCCATCATTATGCATTCTCTTTCCACCATTCACTTTATTTCCAATCATGTAGAAGCTTTGCTACACTTTGAATTTGAGGGAAGATCGTAAGTATTTTGTTGCCCTCAGAGATTCTGTATCTTAACTGGACTTTGCCTTATTCATGAATCAAGGTTCTTTGTTTTGCATTATGCAATACTTTGTTAAGAATCAAACAGATTATGGCGTGAAGGGCAGGTCACGAGCTTAGGATAGGTTACTATGACATTCTTTTCTAATTTTGTCAAAACTTATTCTCTGCGAATCCACACAAATTTTAAGCTTTTAGCAAGAGAGATGATCATTTCTGGCTCTACTTATGCTGTTGACTCCTTAAAGTGCTAAACCTGAATATCTTAGATTGCCCTACGGGTTGCTGACTTGCTGTCGAACTCTAAGGAGACACATATTTTTATACTTCGATATATTATTTTCTTAGAAGCAGGACACATCGTTGAACTTTTCTTTGACCTGATCCAAGTTGTTTAAGGTAATTATGGGACTGGCATCTGAAACATTGACATAATCTAAGTGTTGTTTGACTTCTCTCTGGTATTGATCACTGTAAAATTATTTCAACTACTACAATGCAATTTCACAGATTGGTCAAGGGACATACAGCAGTGTGTACAGAGCTCGTGACCTTGAAACTGGAAGAATTGTTGCACTGAAAAAGGTGCGGTTTGTTAACATGGATCCAGAAAGTGTCCGTTTCATGGCTAGGGAAATCCTTATTCTACGTAGGCTGGATCACCCCAATGTGATGAAACTTGAAGGTCTGGTCACTTCCAGGGTTTCAGGCAATTTGTACCTTGTATTTGATTACATGGAGCACGACCTTTCTGGACTTGCAGCTTCTCCAGCGGTTAGGTTTACTGAGCCACAGGTCTGTCCTTCTTTCTTGCTATTTGATTTAGCTCAAGATATGGCCACCATTGCTGTGATTTATATCTTCTGAGTTATAAAGATTCTTCATAACTGTAGTCTTTTCTTTTTAAATAAATCTACATCTACTAGTAAAGTGCATAAATAAACTGATTAGTGATTTATAAATCTTGACGTTGTTCGTAGAATTGTATAATGAGATCTACACTATCTTAAGTTGTGCATGATCTTTATCTTCTAGCAGACTAGTTTTAGGGCATTTTAATTTTGGAATACCACCACATCAGGATTTGATATATCATTTGTCAAGCTTTTGGATTGAGCCAACCAATTATGATAAGTTGAAACAATATTGCTATGAAATTCCAAGAAACTTAGTTCTCATAATTTGTTGTTCTGCTTCATTTAGTTAGATTGTTGGTTCAATCATTATACCTAAAATAAGTAGGTTTTGTCTTCTTCCATTTCCCTTTTTTTTGCTGGTTTATAAAGACAATGTTGGTTTTTCAAAACATCTGAATAGATATAATGCAGATGAGAGTGCAATGCAACGGATAAATGCATATCTGTGAACTTTACATTTAAATATATAAGATGAATAGTCATTTGACCCTGCTTTTAGATTGGTCAATTCTTCTATCTTTTGAGCCACTTTATCAATTACTCTATTCTAGTTTGAGCCTCGACCGAGTCTCATTTTTGCTCAATTTGAGCCTACTGAAAACTTTACTTTGATTGCTTGGTACTCAAGACTATGTCATGCCTAGTTCTGTTAATGAATGGACATCTTGAAATCTTTTTCTCAAATTATGATTTAAACAAGCAAACTTTGTGATCAATATAATCCATATTATACACATTCTGTGACTATATATGTTCTGGTTCTTCAGATGTAGTTTTGCATTGGATGAATGACATGCCACTTTTGACAAAATCTACCAATCTTTTTCATGTTTCTCTTTATAATTGAAACGGCCTTATGTGACTATCTTTTACAGTCAATTTTTTTTTACAAGTTTGTTTATTTATTTATTTTTACCATGGTCATGCAGATCAAATGTTACATGCAGCAGCTGCTTTGTGGACTCGAACATTGTCACAGTCGTGGAGTCCTGCACCGAGATATCAAGGGTTCGAATCTTCTGATTGACAACAATGGAAATCTCAAAATTGGCGATTTTGGGCTGGCAACCTTTTTCCGAACCAATCAGAACCAGCCTCTAACTAGTCGTGTTGTTACCTTGTGGTACCGACCTCCTGAACTTTTACTTGGTGCTACAGAGTATGGAGTAGGTGTAGATCTGTGGAGTTCTGGTTGTATTCTTGCTGAACTGTTTGCAGGCAAGCCAATCATGCCTGGAAGAACAGAGGTACATTCAAAGATCAATGTGGGCTTGCACATGTCCAATTCTTCATTATTTTATAATTGCTTGATTTCTCGTTTTATGTTTTATTGAAAATGATAGTTTTATGTTTTGTAGAAAGATTACTCTCTACTATCAACTAAGCTCCTGTTTGGCCCCCATTACATAGAAAAATTAATGGGTTGAATAATATTTTTTTGAAAAATGAGTGGTTGAAAAAGAAGGAAAAATTTTCGATTTACGTGTAATATTATTTTATGGAAGATTGTGTGGTTGAAAATAGGAAAGAGAAAAATGAAATGTAATGTAATGAAAATTAATGAGGCTCAAACGGGGGCTAAGAGTATTTTACATTCCTATTTCACTCGGTTCTTCAATTGTAACATCTGAATAAAGCAGGAGAGATGAAAATAACAAATACTTCTGTAGCATAATGAGAAAAGAGGATTTTGTTAACAAGAGTAGTTATTGAACTTGCAATAAGCTGTGATCAAGCTGTTTCGTGCAATTTGAAGTAAGATTTACACATGAATACTGGGGTAGCAATCTGTGGCTCGAGCTGTTGGCTTTATTGACCTTTTAGGCAATTTTATTTTCAGTTCTCCAACATTAGGATCCACATATCTGATAAAAGAAAACACATTTGTCTGCTCTGTTCTTAAACTGGTTTTCAGAAAGAAATGAAAAAAACCTATATTTACTATAATGCGATAAAAGTAACTGAAGCAGTATGATTAACTTTTTCTTAGGTAGGTACAAAACATTCATATTCTCTGTTTTTTGACATATAGATACACACCATAGAAGTGGTAAATTTATTTATCTAAAACCTATCCAGAATATGGTATGGGTGAAACTCCAGGCAAGCTAATTTTTCTTCTAAAATTGAATATATTTTGGAATTTTATGCATTCTGGGTTCTCTAACCTGATATACCATGTGGGTTTGTTTTAGATCATTGGAAAACAAGGCCCATGTGTTGGTCAAGCTCAAAGAATCCTCCCCATGGGCTTGAGGCGTGATAGTATCTTACTTTTTACCATGACAGCAGCAAGGCCTTACCTTTTTATAATATTTATAATTAATATGTTATGGATATAGGACTTTTCTTGTTACTACTACCGCAAGTTTGAAACCAAAAGATTATAATTTTTTTTAGATGGTTCCTAACCTTTGCAATATCTGGTGCTTGTTGCACCTGGAGCCATTGCCAGGTGCTGAAGAATGGGTGCTTTGTATCCATTTTGCAAAAACAGGTTGTGATTGTGTAGTGACATCTGAAAACAATACCAAGGATGCCTGAAGCGTTCACGGTATCATTGTGAATGTATGAATAATAAGGCATGGATGATTTTGCCAGTATCAAGCATCATTGGTGCAAATTGTTATTTTTAAGTTTCACAAGACTGTCTTCTATTTTGGTGCCTGTCTTGGGATCTTGCTCAAATATTTAATGTTTTGTTTTTCCCCAAGAAATCTTCACTTGATAATGTTCTGTGTGTAATTTTTATGACCCATAATTTGTTACTATTTAACTTGGTGTGCAGGTTGAACAGCTGCACAAAATCTTTAAACTTTGTGGTTCTCCGCCTGAAGAATACTGGAGGAAATCAAAATTACCGCATGCGACGATTTTCAAACCTCAACAACCTTACAAACGTTCTGTGGCTGATACATTCAAGGACTTCCCGCCTACTGCATTAGAACTTTTGGAAACTCTCCTTGCTTTTGAGCCGGAGTGTCGGGGATCAACAACTTCTGCTCTTCAAAGTCGGGTAAAACTGATTTTCTCCAATTTTCATTTTCTGCACCTGAAAAGTTGTCAGATTGAGCATTTTGAACTGTAGTCCTACATTGGGTAGGTGAGAATTTTCTGAACATCATTTCAATGTTGGTTGTTTTTCTAAGCCTCTATTTGGATACAATTCATAAATTGGTTTATAAATTCAGTCAAAGTAAAACAATTTTATAACTACTTATTATTATCTACATATTCCATGCGACCCACTATTATTCTTCTTTATAAATTGATTTACAAATTTACAAATGGCGGATAAAATTATCCAACTTGAGTGCCAACGTTTGGCAGTTATAGCCAACTAGTGGGTATCTTTAGGCTGTGAAACCTTCATTATAAATCCTGATCCCATCGGCTCAGGGGTATGACATTTAGCCATTGTCTTCATTAAATTCTTGAATTCAAGAAGATGTCTTCTATGTGTAAAATCAAATCAATTAGTAGTTGAGACTTGAATAGTATAACATAGGAAGTTCTTTTATACATACCGAATCCAAACATGGATTCCTGATTTGGACTCCTATCTATGTTTTGGACTATTATTTATGTTTTATTTCATTGGGCTTGTATTAATGGGCTGGCCTAAGCCCCAGAGCCATTAGGTTTAATTTTGTTATTTATATGTTTTTATTGCTTTTTCAAAGGGGATGATGAATTGATAAAGATGAATGAAATGTTTGGTTAAGTTTTCTCCTCCCCGACCTCTCCTTTTATTCTCTTCTTCTCCGGTCTTCTCCCCCCATTCTCTCTGGTTCCCTCCCTTTCTTGCTGCCTATTTCTTCTTAATCCTCTGCCTATTTTCTGCTGGTTATTGTTCAACTGCTGAAATTCTTTATTTATCATTTATTTCCCTTCTTTTTTCTATAACCTACCTTACGTCTTCCTTGTATAATCATCTGATGAAGTGTCATTAGATTGCCATTCCACTTTTATTAGTCACATAGTTACAGATCCAAACAAAATAGAAAAGCTAACTGGGAAAACCGAGTTGCCTGCATCTTTACTTCTCTTGAGCTTGAATGCTTTGCGATCTACTATTCTTTGAGAGATTATGCTGTATAGAGTGCCGGAAGGCTTAGGTGCTTAGCTAATTGACTTCTTTCATTGATAGCCCATTCTTATTTTTTCTATTGATTTCTAACTGTATACCATAGGTGCTTCTTAAAATTCTCCCACGTTAACCATCAGGCATCTTTCTAATGTTTATCACATATTGTATGGCAGCCTTTAATGTGTTACATACAGATTTCTTCCCGACATTTTTTCTATTAAAAATTTGATTGGAGTCCAAATTGATTTAAGATCAAAAGAAGAAAGGGATATAACCACCTTTTAGTCTCTCTTTCAAGAGGGACTGTATCATTACTTCCCCTTGACATTTTCGAGAGCTTGTCATTATGAACACCCTTAAAATTCTTGAAGTTGTATGCAGTTGAACTTTAGTTCATTGTTAAGAAGAGATAAAAATACCATTAAAAAGCAATCCATTTTGAAATAAACTCTTGCTGCTTTACATTTTGTTATCCAAGTCAACTAGCAATAATATATCGTGAAATTAAAATAAGTATGTTGAAATATTTATTTGGATTCTTGTTTTAACTTTAATAGAATTATTACATTCCATGAGAAGACTGTGTTGATCAAAACACATTAAATTAGTTTATTGAAATTGTAAAATGATCTGTACATTTGTAACCAAGTAAACTCATAATATTTCAATATGGGTGACTTGGACTTAATTGCCATGCAGTTATTGGTGTTGCTAAATTAACACTTGTCTTGTCTTCCTTAAGGCACGATATAGTAGCAAAAGGCACTTACTATAAGATTTAGTACTAGAAGAAAATGAAAATCATAGTGGTAACTGTTTTAGGAACAACAATTATAAGACTGTTTACGTTAATTATAATTATAATCATAAACATTAAATAATAACAATGATTGTGGAGGTGATTATGTGTTACACTGTTGCATGTGGTTATGTTTGAATCAAACTTATATGAAGCCACGCTTATATTTGCACTTGTGATGTCAGAAGATTCCATTAAGATGGAGTTTCATCTAGATCAAATTTATGATTTGTGCTTTATGCCATCTGATTTTCTGTTCAAGCAAATTCACATTTTTCTTCATTTTCCTTAACTTTATTATTATATTTTTTAATCAAAAAAGCATTAATTACAGTTACATAATACATTATTGGAAACTGTACACTTATGAGATGTCTCTTTTCAGTTTTTCACTTCAAAACCTCTGCCTTGTGACCCGTCATCTTTGCCCAAATACCCTCCTAGCAAGGAGTTTGATGCCAAGGTTCACAATGAGGAGGCAAGAAGGTGCACATTCAATCTTATCCTTGTGAAATTATGAATCATGATTTCTGCCTCTTGGACAGTATAGGTTCTAAAGAAGAACTTCTTGTGGCGTTGTTTGTCAAGATGTCTTGTGCTTGTTGTGTAATGAGGCAGTGTTCAGTGGCTTGCATGTTATATCGTACTTCGAAAGAATCATTAGAATCTTGGTCATGATGTATAATTTTGTTCTTTTGTTCAAATAAAATACGGTCGCCTATAATGTTCATGAAAATCCCTTGAACTTGTCACCAGGCAAAGAGCTGCTGGTGGAAAAGGAGGTGGAGTTGAATCCAACAGAAAGGGGTCTAAAGCAGTGCCAGCCCCTGATGCTAATGCTGAATTACAAACTTCTATACAGGTATTTTTTGTTTTATAAGCCCATATTATATGATTAATATGGCAGTTGCATTTCTATATTAACCCATTTTCTGATATTCAGAAATGGAAAGGGCAGTCAAATCCCAAAAGCAACAGCGAGAAGTACACTCCAGAAGAAGACGGTGCTTCTGGCTTCCCAATTGAGCCTTTCAGAGGACCCTTGCATACTGGGCATTTAATGCAGAAGGGTGGATCTGGAAATTCCTTAAATATTGTGGATGGAATGCCTCAAATTGATTCTCATAAACGCTTAGGGTCCGCAGCACGCCTGTCTAAGTTCTCTAATTCGGTAGCTGCTCGTGGCTTATCCCAACTTGATTTAAGCAGAGAGGCTAATTCCCACTCACAGTGGCAGGAAGACTATTTGGGTACCAAATATAATCATTTAAATGATGCCGAGTCCTCCCATCATTTGCTGGGACCAAATTCTTACAAGAATGATGGACGGGTTCCTCGTAAGGAGACCACAATGGTAAGAAGTTACTTAATTTTATGTTTTCATCCTGTAGGAACATCCCCACACCCCACAACCCAGTTTTAGTAATTAGAAGAGAGAAGAAACACTTCAAAGTTCTTATAATCTTGGATTTAATGACAGGGTTATACTCCAAAGAAGACTCGGATACATTATTCCGGACCATTGTTCCCCGGTGGAAATATGGAGGAAATGCTCAAAGAGCACGAGAAACAGATTCAAAATGCGGTCAGAAAAGCTCTTATTGACAAGAATAAGACACGGAAAGGTTATGGTGACAATGGACAAACAGAATCGCTCCTTGAATGCGTGAACACTGGCAGGTGATTTTTGAGAAGAACCATACTCTACATATAAATGTGCATTTCTCCTGTGTCCATGGTTTCGGTTGAATGGTGTGAATTTTATGGATTCACTGTGCCAAAAAGTAAGCATCGTGACGGTTGGAGAATCTAAAATTTCATAAGGAATGTCTTTTGCTGCGTCAGGTACTTGTTTACAAGTGACGACATTCGATATATGATGATAGGATTTCAGGTTTGCAGAAGCTTCAATTGATGAAGAATAATTGACAAATTCTTATTTGACAAATTCAGAAGAATTATTCAACAATCAACCCGAAAGAAAGTCTCTAAATCTGGGGCGAGCTTTGGTTCTCGAGCGGGGTCGGATTTTCTTCTTTTCTATTTTTTCCATGAGATATAAGGTTGCTGAAATATTCTTGTAGAGTTTTACTGTGTAAATTGTAGTTCGATGCGAAGGCCTAGATATCCTTGCTAATCGATAGGAACACGAAACTTTTGGACACCATCTGCAGAGATGCAATTGGCAGAAATGCTTCTACATTTTACAATTATTTGTGCTAAATCTTTTGATGGAGTCTAGCAGTTTCTATCAGGAATTGTATGAAGGTGTACAGGATGAGGTTTTCTGTCTTTTCCATATATGTATAGCTTCATTTTCCCTCTTCATTGATTTAATGACTGGACCAAAACTAAAGGATTTAATGTCCACAAGGTTCCTTCGGGAGCTCACTAGTTATCATTGCACGCATATTTGATACACAATATTCGATATAATTGAAAAGTGTAAATTGTTTTCTTTGTCGATACTATTTAGTTCTGTATAATATATTTCAATGAACAAATTGTGGGAATTTTATATTCTTGTTGAGATGGTCCACATTTTTGTAAATTACTGGACGATAATCAAGGTGGCCGAATAATCGTAATATCATGAGGCTCCTTTCGTTCTAGCGTATTAAGGGAAACCGTGCGACAGTAGTCTATTTTGCTAGATTACCTTCCATGTATTCTCGGTTGATTTGACAATGAAAGACAATTTAAAGAAAACTTTACGGGAGAAGATTTGAATGCATTGAATAATCATTGATTGAACGAAAGCAATAAATTATAATTATTTGTGCAGGGAAGAGCAACATAAAACTTAATGAGACTTCGAATACCAAATATCTTCTATAATAACTTAAGTATGAAAAATTTTAGTGACGTGAGTAGTTATTTAAAAGTTAAGCAATCATGATAAGTATTTATAAAGACAAATGTTCTTTTACAACTTGCGATCGAATTTGAGCAAACTGTAGTTTCAAGTGATCAAGGATTTAAATATAGTTGTGATCCTTAACATGAAGAATTGACTTCAGAACTTCAAACATAGCCCCTGTTTGGCCCTCATTCTTTCCAACTTTTAATGGTTGAAATAGTGATTTTTTTAAAAATGTCTGGTTGAAAAATAATGAAAAATTTTCGATTTATATATAATATTATTTTATAAAAGATTGTGTGGTTAAAAATAAGAAAAAGAAAAAGAATGAAAAAGAGAATGGGGGTCAAACGATAGCATAATATGAAGTTCTCGTCTTCAGCGTATGTTTGAATAATGGTCCATAAGTAGTTGATTAAGCTTTAGAACTAAATTAGGCCCTTTTTGGTCCAATTAAAAATTGAAATTAAAATTTAAGTCAAAGTTTAATTATATATTTTATGGAATTCACAATTTTTCAACCATATATTTCATTAACTTTATCAAAGTTTACTAAAAATTTAATTTTTATCTACGAACAGAGGCTAGAATTTCTTTTTAACACCGTTCCATAAATTTCTCAAGAATTGAGAAGAGAAGTGAGCTTACGAATGTACGATATGTGTCAGGATCAATTATAGAGTATGCCACATGGCACTATTGAAAGATTATGTTAATCATTATATTATTGTAGCATGATCGTAAATATTTCTATCATGTTTTGCTTAAATTCAAGAAATTTATAAGCAAATAAACTTACTTATTTGAGTTAATTGTTCCAATTATCGCTGAACTTAGGTCCATATTTTTTATTATTCACTGAAATTTAAAATGTTGAGACTTGAACACTGAACTTTGAAAAATATTATACGTTACGTATTAGCATAACTTCTGTTTCAAACCTCAAACGGAATTGATGACGTAGCTGGCAGAATGCACACGTGGTGCCGTTCACATCATTACACTTTGAAATGGTTGAATTTTGGACACTAAATTTTGAAAAATGACTTATATTGCTCACTGAACTTTGAGGTGATTGAATTTTGGTAACTGAACTTTGAAAAACGTTGAACTTTGGCTACAAAACTTTGAAAAATATGTTTTATTGTTTACTATAAATTTGGATTTAACCACAAATTTATACAATAAAATATTTTACACTAAGTTCAATTTTTTCCCAACGTTTTAACCACACATTTTTCAAAAAATCACCATTTTTAGAATTCATTTTTTTTAATGGCCATCAAACAAGGGGGCTAAAATTCGTTGTTAAAAAATTCTGATTTAATTTTTACGTTAAATATATTGTGTTTTATTGCAATTAGTAATAACTTTCTTTCACAGCTTTGTAAGCATTATCTATATTATTATGAATGATTATTCAATTACACAATAGTTAAATTTTAATTTAATTTTTATATTTTTTTTAGAATTTGAATCTATTTTCATCATAATAATTGAATTTTCAATGAAACACAATAAATTTGTTTGTTTTTAAATAAAATTAAATTCAAATTTTAACAATGAATTTAACTAAATCCAAATTTATTGTGAGCCATAAAAGACGTTTTTCAAAATTTTGTGGCAAAAATTTGGCCACACTCATTGAACTTTAAGGTGGTTGAATTTTTTGTCACTGAATTTTGAGATAATTGAATTTTGGTCATTAACATTTGAGATGATCGAGTTTTTAAATAGTGATTTTTTGAAGAATGTATGATTAAAAAGTTAAGAAAACTTTAGAGTGTTTACATGTAAAACATTTTTATTTTATAAATGTATAGTTACATCCAAATTTATAGTCAGCAATAGAAGACATTTTTCAAAGTTTAGTAGTCGAAGCTCAATATTTTTCAAAGTTTAGTGGACAAAATTCGACCACCTCAAAGTTTAGTAGCAATAGAAGATATTTTTCAAACTTTAGTGCTCAAAATTCAATCATCTCAAAGTTTAACTGTGTGAAAGGGAGCCACGTACGCATTTCGTCAGCCATGTCACTAATTTCGTTAGAGGTTTGAAACGAAAGTTATGCTAATGAGTAGATTACAATATTTTTCAAAGTTCAGTGGCTTAAACTCGACATTTTAAATTTTAATAAATATTGAAGATATGAACCCAAGCTCAATAATCAAAATTCGATATTTTAAATTTCAGTGAACAATTGAAAATATGAACCTAAGGGTCCTTTTAATTACAGAGATGAAATTTGGGTAGAAAGAAAACAAATTCTAGGGAATTGAATTGCCTAGAAATTGTTTTTCTGAGATTTGTCAATTATTGTGTTTGATTGGTATAATTTTTCATGTGAAAAAATGTTGAAATAAAAGTATTTTTTGGTATTCGTTTGACTTTATTTTACATGAAAATTATCAATTAAAGGGGTAGAAGTTACTGGTATTGAGGGATAAAATTTGTTTCCATTGTAAAAAAAAAATCAAGAAAATCATCTATCTTTTAGTGTTCGTTTGACTTTGTTTTACATAAAAATTGTTAATTAAAGGAAAATAATTTTTTACAATTAGGGATAGAATTTACTACCATTGTCCAAAAAAAATTTTAAAAAAAGGGCAACAGTTTGGTGGGAATTGATTTTCAAGGAAAAGGGAGAAAATGTCTAGTAGCAAAAAAAGTGGGAAAATCAATTATTTGGCCAAAAAAAAATACTATCAAACAAGCCCCCCAGGGCACATCCGAGTTGGTGGAACAATCACTTCGCTGGGACGCTGGAAGCAAGGGTGGAGAGTTCGATTCCTGGAGTTAACACTGGGAGCCATATGGAGAGGAAGCCATTGGTGTGAACAAACGCCCAGTAAGGAGAGCTCTCTTTGCGGAAAGAGTTCAAATGAGTTGTGGGAACCTGGGAGCCAACAATGGCACATCCTGCGATTTACCTCCCTGAGCTGCTGAGGGGCCGGAGGTTCAGGGACAAGGATCTAGCCGGACGCAAGCCCGGACACCTTGTAAAAAAAAAAAAAAATACTATCAAACAATTAAAAAGTGAAACTTGAAATTTGAATTTCATTTTTCAAAAAAAAAAATAATGTACTATTAAAGTGGGCCTTGGTACAATTAGCTCTACTTATTTTATAGACACGTTTTCTTACTTGAAAATAATAGGTTGCACCACATGTGGAGAAAAAAAGATAACTATTTACAGTTCGATTTACAAAACGAGCAAATCGCTCAGTCACTTTAACAAAACGATAAGGAAAAGTCAAAGAATCGAAGAAAAATGAGTAACGAATAGTATGAGAAAACCCAGTTTTTTTCTTTTAGATTTCTTACTTTTTGCTTTTTTTTTTTTTTCTCAATGTTTTGTTTTTTAATTTTGCAGCGACTATCTGTTTAAGCTTTTGTTGATCGGCGATTCCTCTGTTGGAAAATCTTGTCTTCTTCTCAGATTCGCTGTACGCTTCAATCCCATTCTTAACATTTTTATTCATTGTTCAATTATTCTGAATAAAGTTTATGCGCGTGTAATGAAGAAAAATGATTATATTTTGATGGACTTTTTTAAATGTGAAGAATCAGAATAATAATTAATAGGGATTAGGCTATTTAAGTTCAGCTTTAATTAACTCCAGGATATTAGGGAACATTCTAATTGATTTCAGATTGATAAATGGGTTTCCTTTCAATTATTGTTTGCTGACTTGCTTCTGGAAATAGTTTTGACTTAATGTATTCAGTTCTGCCTTTTTTTTTCTTCTTATTCTTTTTTTTTTTTTTGGGAAATTTCATTTGGGGCAATGTGCAGTGGAAATGATGCTATTCTTTGATGTTTTCAGGATGATTCATATGTTGACAGCTATATTAGCACCATTGGAGTGGATTTTGTGAGTTTACTCGCATAGTCTCTTTATTTACGTTGCTTAGGAATTAGTATACAATATAGATTGATTATTTTTAGGTCCCTGACTTTGTTTTTATTGGGTTTAATGTGATTATTGATAATTACTGCAGAAAATTAGGACTGTGGAGCAGGATGGGAAGACAATCAAGCTGCAAATTGTTAGTTAATTTGACATTATGACTACTCTGTAGTTTTGAACATATATAAAAACATGAGCATGAATTTTATGTAAGTTGTATTTGCTATTATGGTTATGAGGCATGCTATTTTCAAGGACAATCAGGAATTCAGATAAATAGCATTCATTTATACTTGATTAACCATGGGGGTTAATATTATTTTAGATGCATTCAAAATTGGGATTACTTTATATGTATCACATTGACAAATTTTGGAAGAAACCAAACTTAGCTATATGGTTGGAGAGAAATTTGCCGTTTTTGTCATGCACAAGGAAGAAAGATATTCACTTTGGAGAAATTTATTGATTAACATAGATACTCACGGTTTTCTTAGTTGGTCAAAGCATTGTGACCGCCTCTTGTTTTTAATGTGAACTGCAAATAGAGCATGATATTGGTGCTATCATTTGATAAAAGATTTTATAATTAGAGGAAAACGAGGGATTAAATAGAACATTTGGGTTGCCAGTACCTGGATCCTTTCTGTTCAGTACTGTTCAGACAATTCGGGGTCTGATCACCTGACATTTCTTCTGTTTAACTCGACTTATGATATATTTGTGTCCTGCTTATGGATGGTGATGTTTAACTTCAAATTTCTGAATTATAGTTCTGACTGCATATTCTTGGCCGTATATGGTTATCTAAACAATTCATGATTAGGCATGGTGTATTCTTCTACCACACCCCAACCTAATGCAACATATAACTTTATACTGATACTTGCTTAATATATTAACTTAAGCGATACCAGATGTACTTGGGTGGATGCTTGGAGAAATTGATTCTTCTGACTCAATGATGACCACAACCATGGCTACTCATTAGTTGTTCCCGTAACTGTCTATACGTTTTAGAAGTTTAATTTATTTACCACATTTAACTGGATACTTCTTTATTCCTTTCAAGTGGGATACTGCTGGCCAAGAGCGGTTCCGGACCATCACAAGCAGTTACTATCGAGGAGCTCATGGGATAATTGTAAGAAGATTACAATGTTTGGTGCTTGATCTCTAGTTTATTTTTCATATATGTCTATGACTTGGTTGTAAATGTATTATTTCCCGAATCCTGATGGTTAGGGATTGTAGAAGGTCAATGTTAGCTTGCACGCAAGTTCCTCATTCAGGAACTAGATGCCATTTTGCCGTCATTTGTTGGAGAATGTGAACAATTTATATTCTTTAATGGGCATAAACTGGTCACTCATTTGTCTTCACTACTATTTAAATTTCTGGTTTATGAGCTCTATTTCTCTGTCTTCACGACTCATTTTTCCTCGTGCTTTCATTCTTTCCTTCGTTTATGTTGTGTTTCGGTGTTGACATCGTTAGAGTTTAAAGACGTTATAGTTGTTTTCCACTCTCTGTCTTTCTTGATTTAATTAAAAATCAGCATATGTTGATTATGAGGCCAGGTGCCAATATTTCATTATTATTTTATAAAATTTAGTTTCTTTTTTTATTTTATTTTTTAAAGAACATTATATGAAGAGCTTATTTGTATAACTGGAATTTCTAGTAAGTATTTGTGTTGTATGCCCAATTTGTATCCATTACCCAAATTTTAATGTTCATGAAAATAATAATTGACAATACGAAAAATATGATGCTGTTTGTTTTTTCTGAATGTCTTTAAATCACTTGTAATTTGACAAAGACTTGTGCTTTCAATAATTTTACTACCATCATTACCTACCTTATTATAGTTTTGCTTCTTTTTTCTTTCTTGGTAGTAGTAATTTTTCTTTGCTATCTTTACTGATTTCAATGCAGTTTTACTCCATTTTTCTTTCTTGATAGGAATAATCTTACATTTACTTATATTGCAACAGATCGTGTATGATGTAACTGAGATGGAAAGTTTCAACAATGTCAAGCAATGGCTTAATGAGATTGATAGATATGCAAATGATAGTGTATGCAAGCTTCTGGTGGGGAACAAATGCGATCTCGTTGAGAACAAAGTTGTTGACACACAAACAGCTAAGGTTTGGTTGTTTTAATTCTTTATAAATCTTCTTTTGTTCTTTTTACCATTACTTTCTGCCTCATTAGTCCTGAAATGATGTTGTGGTTCAGAACAAATAGTTACAGCAGTAAGTATTCTACAGGCTTTGAGGACTTCAATATTTTCATTTTTAAAGCAATGCTGGAAAAATTGCATGTTGTGGGAATGTTTTATGTTCGGTTGGAATTAACCTCCTTCGATTATGGGGACTGAACTTCCAAATATCTCCTTTCTTCTTGGGTTTTGCCTTTTATTTTGTGTTGTGTGTTTTTATTGGGTGGGGTTGGGGAGGAGGGTATGTGAAGGTGGTGCTGCGTTGTTTCTGGGAGAAATGTTGCCATAACATGTCTAAGACACTGCAAATTCTTAACATGACTGAAGAAAACGCAATAATTAAATAAGACTACAGGAGAAGTGAGATGCTGAAAATGGGTTACATTTTGGGATATTTAGAACTGATCTTTATCTGCTAATTGCTTTGATAGTTTTAAGCATCATTTTCTACCATTTGCTCTGTCCACCCTGCACACTAATGTCTTTGGTTCTAACTTGATCCCTCTATCCTTCACCGAAATTGCAGGCATTCGCAGATGAGCTTGGGATCCCTTTTCTGGAGACTAGTGCGAAAGATTCTATCAATGTGGAGCAGGCTTTCCTAACCATGACTGGCGAGATTAAGAAAAAGTAAGGCAAACTAATATACTTATTATTGCTTTTAATGGCATATGCTGTTATGTTACAAAATTTTTAGGAGCCACTTAATTCCATCGACCAAAAAAAAAAAAAAAAAAAGATTCTTATGCCTGTTAATTTATACCTTGTTACAAATTCCTTCTTAGTAGGAGAAATAAATATACGGGTGATTTGATTAACCCAACTTGCTATGCTGCATAATGAAGATGCTTGAGGCTCATTTGATCAATTTGATTAATGAAGAAATTATTCACAAAATGTGATGATAAATTTCTTTATCTTGGAGACAAAGCTAAAGCTGGAGTTCATGATAAATGGCTTACCAATTATGGTGACAAAGAAGAAATGAACATCAGAACCTCTGAACTTTTCCCTCAAGGCTTTTCATAGAATTTCAACCAATATTTTGTTAATTGAACCTCAGAAGTAGTATTTCAAGAGAACTTTTTATTATATATCTGACACAATGGTTTTTGCAGAATGGGTAACCAGCCAGCTGCAAACAAGAAACAGGCGAGCACGGTTAAAATTGAGGGTCGACCAATTGAGCAGAAAAACAGCTGTTGTGGTTAATTGCCCTTGACCGTTCTTTCTCATATTAAAAGGAATGTAAACAAATGTTAAATATCTATTAACCAGCCTCTTTCTTGGGTTTCTTTTGAACTGTTGAATGTGACCAGACTTAACTCACTAAGTCCCCATTTTCAGGGAAATGTATATTTTGAAACGCAAGCGTGTATGATAAACTATTTTTCTCTCTACACTTTGGTTTTATTTATCACTTTAGCATCCAATGGCTACACAGTTAAAGATAGAAGCACCTGAAAGAAATTATTGTTAATAGTATAAAAATTGTTTGTGGACTCTTATTGGAAGTTGTGAGGGCAGGATTCTTGTAGAAAGAGATGGTGCTTGGATTTTGGGTAGCTCTACCCTAAAATCTGGACATAGAAGTATCCTCACATCTCGAGCACAGCATATGCTCCATCATCTGGACAGGATTCTCATAGAAAGTTGGTGAGAAACTAGACGACTTGTAATTACCTTTTTAGAAGATGACATCGTAAGTAGATCCACATTCTCATGGCTCGATATGCGAATAGGGCAGGATCAATAGGGGGAGGGATTAAAAAAAGGCCAAAACGAGAACTGTCAATATGTCACATTCAATCATATACACTAAGAACGCCCCAGTAATTATACGATCAACTGCCAAACATTCTAAATTGATGAATGATCTAGAAATTCAAAACAAAAGATTGCAAAATGGAAGCTTAACAGATCGAGGGTTCATGGGGAGGTAAACGGAGAAGCCATTAGGAAGCAGCACAGCATTTCTTAGTGTTGGTCTCCTGAGGTCCAACGACAAGAGTCTGCCCTTCTCTGATGCTAGTTGGTGCAGGCTCGTCCGAGGAAAGGGACTTCTTACTAATGATACGGTATATCTCTGAAAGGATCATTTGGAAAGCCTTCTCTACATTGGTCGCTTCCAGAGCAGATGTTTCAATGAAAGAAAGGCCTTCTTTCTCAGCAAAACTCTGAGCATCCTCTGTAGCAACAGCTCGCAAATGCTTGAGATCGGTCTTGTTTCCTATGAGCATAATGACGATGTTGGAGTCTGCATGGTCCCTAAGTTCTTTCAACCATCGACTCACATTTTCAAATGAAGTTGGTTTTGTCACATCATATACAAGAAGAGCTCCCAGAGCACCTCGGTAATATGCACTTGTTATGGCTCTGTATCTCTCTTGGCCAGCTGTATCCCATATCTGAGCCTTCACCGTTCTTCCCTCAACCTATGTAGAAATGAGTGAAAACAAGTACACGAGTATGCATGGTAAATTATGTCATTTTCCTTTAATAACTAATTCTCTGTTTGGGCTCCATTATTTCCAAAACTCATTTTTAATCACACATTCTTCCATAAAATAATATTATACATAAACCCAAAACTTTTCCTTATCTTTTAACCACACATTCTCCAAAAACCATTATTCCAAAATCACAATAAATGGTGCCCAAACTGGGGTTAAATTCACTATGACTTGGTGAAACTATTTAGCTTGAAAATACAAATAAACACAATTAAACTAACTTAGACGATAATCAGAACTTTAGATAAATGTTGAAAGAACATGCTGACTCAAACACCTTATTGACCCAAAGATTCAGTTGAAGGAACAAATGTTGCAAGAGTAATGGAGATCAAACGCCTTCAAACTTAGGTGAAGGCATCAGATGTACCCAGACTGACCGAAACCAAATGTAAGAAGGTTGCCAACTTAATGATGTGAACTATGAAGATCAAGTACCAGACTACCCATGTATGGATACAATCTCCAATAACCTAATGCAGGAAATCACTTATACCCCTACCAGAACCCCCAGCACCAAATTTAAAAAAAAAAAAAAGTACACTTGCGCCCTACTCCATATATGCAAACAACCATTCACATTTAGAAGCTTTGGGAAATTTACGTTCCATGAGTTTTATATATGAAAATTGGTATTTTATATGTTGATATTGTACAAAAAATACTGGAGATCAATAAAAGCCTCCTCATCTTTTGAATTAAGATTAAAATGGATAATCATAGAATACAGAAAATATATTGCATCACAAGTAGACTTTTAAAATGTATTCAGCATTTTGGGATATTAATAAATGATTTGATCTTTATCAAGAATATAACAAGGCAGCGTGCTCTGGAAAGAGATAAGCTGTATAGCATTGTTTGTTGTTTCATCATATCCAAAGCCTCTTCAACTTATCTTTCTTTTTTTGTAGAGCCATACTTTTGTAATGAAATAAATGGCCTATCAAGGTTCTTCTCAAAGGTTCAGGATTTCAAATGGTACCAAAATAGGTCAAGAAACAAATCTACTAATCCTCCATATCAATTCAAATAGCTCAATTATTTAATTAATTCTGTCAAACACAATAGTCAAAATGGATGACAGTCTCTTTAAATAATGGCAAAGCCGAACAAATAATAAGTAAAAACAACAACGTATATTGCACAACATATTTTAAGTGTGAAGGTGTTCCTACAAAATTTAGTTATATTATGAACCATTACTCTATACATATCCAATAACTATTTCCTAAAAAATCTAGTTATATTCAGAACCAGCGGAAAAAGTTCAAACTCTATGATGACATTTAAATTGAATTGAATATTTACCTCTCATCTCTATAATCAATTACGTATAAAAGTCGCTAATTAACCTTTATGGTAAACACAAACAAACTATAAACACCACTCCTGCTAACAACTATCCCATGCATAAATAGATCTAACAGTTCTAAACTAAAAAAATAGATATAAAATAATTAATACCCTTTAACATTGAAGTAGAAAAACAAAAATTATGCATAATTGTAATTATTTTACCATTATAATAAACATAAACAACTATCGGATTCATGAGCTGGTCTAAAGATCCTAAACTAGTAATAATAATTACATTTCATATCAGAGGCGGAGGGAGGGGGCAGGCCCAAAAGATTTTCAAGAGGGTTTTTTTTTTTTTGGATGAAAATTCTATTTCTTTAGTGGATTTTTTTCCCCAATGTATCAGCCCAGTATAAAAAAAATTAGTCCCTCCGCCCTGTTTCTTATTAAAGACTTGAAGTAGAATACACACTAATCCTATACAGAAGTTTTACATAATTGTAATCAATGATCCATAGTTATTCAACAAATACAAAACTATAAACATCAATCTAAATAACAAATAGCCCATGAATAAACAGATCTAAAAGTAACCGATCTTATATTTATGCAGAATAAACTTCCATAAATAAAATAAACTAAACCCCCTATTCAAGTGCACTGACACTTGCCATAAAAAACCCGCCCACAAAATAAATTCGCTCTAATAAAAGAAGTAATAGTAGTAAAAGCATTATCAAACCTGGAGGGTACGGGTAGCGAATTCAACGCCAATTGTAGATTTAGATTCCAAGCAGAATTCATTTCGGGTGAATCGGGATAGCAAATTTGACTTACCCACTCCTGAATCGCCGATTAGTACAATTTTGAACAAGTAATCATAGTCCTCGTCCGGTCTCCTCGCCATTTAAGCCCCTGATTTCTGATTTTTTCAATCTTCAAAGCTTCCCTGTGGAATCGGTCACAAGAGTAAATAATGGCGGATGATAGATGATTACAAAAAATTATCAGGTTTGTCTTTTCTATTCGTTGGTCCTCTGTCTACTGAATGTAACAATTATTTCCTTTATCCTTTTTAGTTGAATTTGTATGGTCCACCTTCCATCAATTAGTATCTGTACTTTTGACAATGATTTGTATTAAAATATTTTGTTTTCATTCATTCAATCGAGGGAAAAATAATTTTTAACATTATTTATTTATTTTTTAGAAATATGATAAAAAAAATATATAAATTGTTTTACGTGATTTCAACGAACTAAAAAGATAGTTATTAAATCGTTAACACCGTATAAAAAATTCTTCCTAAAGGCTGCAATCAACAAAAATCTCACTCACGGGTCTAAATGACGAGCAAACAATCGAAGGTGAGGACTTTCTTCAGATCGAAGGTGAGGACTCGATACTTTTGATAATAAGAATAATATGAAAAATCATTATGTATATAAATATTATAATGAGGAAAAATTAAGAACTTTATGTGCAACAAAAATATGGTAAAAAAATAAAAAAAAATTTGGTGATATTTTCTTTCCAAATATGTATTAAAACCTCGGTAAGCTAATACCCTCGAATCATGAAAATTTTATTAATTAATTGAGACAATATTTAATTGATAAATGAATAATTTATTAATTAAGAAAAAAATAATTTATCTAATCTTTTTTTTTTTTTTTGAAACATTGAATTTGCGATTATACGAATATTACCAATTATCATTATTTTACGTATTTGTTTAACCAAAATAAGATCATGATGTAATTAATCTTATTCAGTCATGGATTTATGCATTTTTGCAATAAACTAAAACTATTCGATATATACTTAAATAATATTTTTTTATGAACATTAGGTCAAACAAAAATATCTACCATGTATTTTAATAGTAAAAATAGCATACAATACCAAAAATAACAAAACTAAATACAAGTAACTCTCATTTCAGAGATATAAAGAAATAAAAAATAACGATTGAAATGCACAAAGCATTATGTGAGAACATTGAAAATCCAACTTGCATGCAAAAGCAATTGCAACATTAGGTGCCAAAAAGGCTTTCACTCGCAAGTGAACCATGCAATAATTTCCTCTAATTTCAAATACAATCAAGAGGTCGTCAGAGTCTAGATTAGCCAACATTGAAAAATGTGAGTATGACATCGAGAACTAATAATTGATGAAGCATTCTATATATAGAGAAAATGAGTTTACAGAAGTGCAACAGAATAAACACAATAGGGGATGGGTGGTTGTTATGGACAATATTTTAATCACGTGAGACCCGCCCCCATGTGAGTGTCTGTAAAAATTCTGTGAAGCCCATTTTCTATACAAATGGTTTTCGTATGGATAAAGCATAATTATTTTATATGGTACACCTAGCTTGTTCTCTTGCAACAAAGTAACTTGAAGGTAAGAAATTAGACATTGAAAGACTTTCAATTGTTATTTGTTGTAACGAGGATGATTATGAAAAAATTCTTTAATGACTCATTAGCAAGTATGCTAGACCCCAGTGTTTCAAAAATGTGAACTTGAGCATTATGAATTATGTGTATCATGCCAACAAACGAGCTTCGACAACTAAGGTTGTATTCCAATAATGGAATATATTCAACAATTAGATAGAAAAATAGATGGTAAAAAGTTCTCTTGCCGATAACTCATTTAAAAACTTCAAGGTTTGAGAAATATTGAATTGTTTTTCTTGTCATCCAACACAACATAAAAGATTTAGCCTTGTGATGCAGATCATACGAGCTTTCAAACTGCATTATTGTTGTTGATATGTGATTTTGCCGATGAAATACGCAATCTCTTTATAATTTTTATGGCAAACTATTTGATGTTGTTTAGCTTTAAACAAGTGCTAAGTGACGCATTCTGTCAGCTTATAAGCTGATCATTAATTTTGATCATAATTATACCAAATATCGTCGAGCTGAATCAAAAAAGGAAGAAGAACAATCAAATTAAAATAAATCAAAGATGAACGACCAACATAAAACAATTTGTAAGTCGACTGAGATCTAACTTATTTTCCATATATATTACTGGTCTGGGAGGTGGCTTGATTTAATACATTTTGAATTCGTTAGCTCAGTTTCGACAACAAGAAAAAGTTGAAGGACGAAAATTGAAAATAAAAAATAGTGTCGATGGTTTCCAGAGGAACTAAAAAATAGAAAACGAAAAGGTTTAAGACGAATAAAAAAGGATTTTTTACATTTTAGACGGAAGAAAAGAGAAGAAAAATGACAGAGATCTCAACTGACAGATCGTTGCGTTTCTTGGTGTTATTCTGTTCGATATTTTTACAATTTATTTCAGGTAATTTTCTGGATCTCTCGATTATTTTTATTATGTTTTGAACGAGAATTATGCTCATTCCTTGCATTTTGTTTGTACAAGAATAATTTCGTGCTTCAATCTGTGTGTTTAGTATTTTTTTTTTTTAAATTGAATCAACATCATTATCGTATTTCCGTTTAAAATTGTTTGAGTCTAATTTGATCCATAGGGTTCTCTACTTCTCTTGTTTTTTGGAATTTCAGGTTTTAGAAAAAGGAATTTAGACTTAAATTTGATTTTTCTGGTTTAGATTGGAAATTTATCAATTGTCATTACCTGCAGACGTGAAGAATTCAGTGTTGGGGTATTAGAGGGGAAAAAGTATTTGAAAAACCTTTATTCATTGGATACTTTGAGAAAATCTTAGAAGAATACATATTTAAGAGAACTAAAAATTTAAGAATGGAAAATATCCTGCTTAAACTTCTGATATGATTATTTACAATTCGAAGGAAAATAAATATCTTGCATTGTTATTCTTTTTCCATATTTATTGAGTTTTGAACTGCAATTCATGAAACCAGAGAAACTGAAATGATAGTAGATATAAATTTTGGTAATACTGTCCATGGATTTACATTAGCAATGCATACTTGTAGCTAAATATATGAAGTTTTTCTAATTAACAATCACATGATTGAAGCTTTTGGGCTTTGCTCAAAGATGAAGAGAGCAGAGATGAGTAACAAATGTGAGCATTGGAGTTTCGTAATTTTCAACACTTTTTCTTCCATTTTTCATGGGTTTTCAGATTTTTGATCTATAAAGCTCTCACTTTTGGCAGTAATTTCTCCTTTCCTACATGTCCTCATCTAGGGAATAGGAATTTCTTCTCTGGTTTTCCTGTTTTTCAGTGAGATATATGATTTGAGTTGGGTTGGTTTGTACTCCGTCAGGAGCTGAAAGGTGTATCTCACTTAATTCTAGCTTCATATATGGTGTGGATAAGGTTATAGTGCTCAGAAGAATTCATCATGTATTGTTGAGTTGATCATTAATACAGCCTGGAAGTTCATCTTACAAACTGGTTTAATTAGTTGAAGTTTTCATCACACAACAAATCTTATTTGGTGCTTTGATCCCAATGAACTTATAAATGTCCAATCTCTCTCTCTCTCGGCCTTTTTGGTAGTGGGGCAGTCGGGCTTTGCTCTAAATTAATAATCTTAAATGTGTGCTTAATTATATCAGCAAGCTTTTGTCTCATTTACTCCCGCTTAGACATTTTCTTCCCATTTAGGCTATTCTGATGATTCATCAAGTCCCATAAATGGGACAAAAACCAAGTCCCATTCACCTTCTCGTTCTGGAGGCAGCACAGGATCCACGGTAGCTATTACATGTTTAGTGCTTGTTGCAGTTGTGCTTTTATCATTTTTCCTTTTCAAGTTTTGGCAAAAGAAGAAGCGTGAAGAGCAGTATGCTCGTTTACTGAAGTTGTTTGAAGAGGATGATGAGCTTGAGCTTGAACTTGGTCTTCGGGATTGAGCTTGCCTCCTATCTGTACATCAATCTTATTAAGGTGGGACTCCTTTCTATGTCTCTGTGGTTCTGATTCTAGTTTCGAAGTTTCGGTACTGTGATTTATATGTGTAGTTAAACAGAGAACTTTGAGGTGAACTACTCTTCTCGTATATGCCATCAATATATTTTTTGTTTGCATGACTTGCTTGTACATTTTTACTGATGATATCTAATTTATCAGTGGAACATTATAAATAACTCTGATGACACAAGGGTCAAGTGTTCTCAAGTAGTCTTGCAATAAATGATGAGTGTATGTGCATGGAATTGATTTTATACATTGAATTATTCCTCAAATATTTATTTGGTAGAGTATTGAGCACCTAGTATAGTGTTATACTCTAGATTATAATTTTGTGTTACGATGACTTTTGCTTTTTGGACACTTCTGATAATGCTAATGGCATAGCTTGTTTACATCTTATTTTTGATTTCCAAGAACATATGCATACTGCTGCTAATGTTCCCTATAAAGATTATTGGTTTGCTCTTGTTATCAAAAACGGCCTTCAAAAACTTTGAAATGGATATTGGACGCTTATGATTCACTTCTCTTTGACTTCTTTAAGGTCACTACAACTTCCATTATTATTATTATTTTTTTTTGTTGAATCGATCAAATGATGCAGAATAAACAATGGACCCTTAGAAGCTCGTCGTCTATTCCCTCTGTCCAATTTATATAATCTAGTTTTGTTTTTCACATGGATTAAGAAATCTTATTTAATGTTATCGAAAAAGCAAATTTTGCCAAAAACTTGCCTAGTCAACCCTTATTTATATTGGTACAATTTCAAGATTAAGTGAGAAAATTTGGATATAACTAAACAAATTAAATAAGGGTATATTAGTAAATGAACAAAACAAAACATTCTCAATAAAGAAACGGGACTATATAATTAGGACAAAAAAAAAAAAAAAGGAAAATCAGCCTTATAAATGAGACAGAGGGAGTACTTCTTTTCTAGGTTACTCGTACATCTTATTAGTTTGTTTTGAAGCAAATGATGTATGGACAACAAAAGGAGGAATATTAAATTTATGATAGCAAGGTTGCTAAGGATAACAACAACAATAAAAATATTTTACGATAAAATGTAATTAATACACAACATATTAGGAGAGAAAAAGTCAATAGGAGGTTCGTTCTTACAAATACACCATAGCTATATATTTTTGTTTCCCCAAAAACTAAATTTTGTAAAATAGATTATATATTTGCTGCCTGTTGATTGGTTAAATATATATAATACTATGTTTCGACAAGCATATGCTGTTTGTATTCTGGAACATTTTCGCTGCAACGTGGCTATTGGGATTATATTTATAGAGCTTGGAACAATTTCATCTTCCACTTGCTTTAATGTGTTTACGTCTGATTTCTTGTCAATCTTGTTATGGATGATAAAGTTATTTTGCTTTATTTTTTTGTGTGACGTCCCAAAATTTTTCAATTCTAGGTTGTAGTTTGTGTAACAATATTGATTGAACCAGAAAAATTGAAGCATTCTTTTTGAAGAGAATTCTTGTGGAGGTTTGCTATAGACTAGAGGATTATCAAATGTTCAAAGTTTCAATTTGGATTTTGTGAGTATGCATATTTGTATTATCAAAACTACTTTTCATGTTTATATTTTGTTCAGCTTATTGAATATTACGAGAGTATGTCAGAAAGTTTGTTATACATTACTGATTGTTTTCATTATTTGTGAAGCCTATTTAGACATATCCGTCTACTTGTTAACTTCTCATATTTCAAGCTCACTTTTTTCTTATTTTTATTTCACACAGATACACGTACAAGGCACCACCCTTTACCATCACACATCAACATCACTGCTATTTTCGATCACCAATTGCACCACCACCCGTGCTGCCATCTTCATTTTTCCTTACCACCCCACCGCTACCACGGTCCCCTCCACCTTCCACAATGTTTCCGGTCTTCACCATTTCTTTCATACAAAAGTGAACTGAAAAATCAAATTTTATAGATTCTTGAAATTCCGACAAGATTCTTCATTTTTTCAAAGTTTTCATCAAGATTCTTTATTTCTTTCATACAAACGTGATAGTAGGTTTTGCAATTTTTTTGAAGTTCGGGGATACGGGTTTTGCACCGCCATAGATGGCAATGACGGCGGTGAATTTGATTTCATATCTAAAATCAGATTTAAAACCATTTGAATTTTCTTGTAGAATTTTCTTCTTCTTCTTTTTTATTTTTCTTTTATTTTTGTGATTTGGGAGGTGTAGATGGTTACGGTGATGGTGGTTTTGTGTGGTTTGTGCCTGGTTTTTGTGGTGGGTGTCGGTGGTGGTGACTTAGGGTTTGGAGGTGGTGGTTTATGGAAGACGTAGCGGTGGCCTATTGGCACAAAGGTGGCGGGTTTTGGTTTTGGCGCTTGACTATTTAACACGTTAAGATATAAGTGATGTTAATGACGGTAGTGTTGTAACACAATGTTGTTAGTAGATGTTATGATGTCAACAATAGTGAAACATGGGATGTTACATGTGGTGATGGAGCAAGTGTTAATGGTTTGTTTAAAGGTTGAACCCCAACCTTAAGGGTTCGTCCTGTCCCGCCCCTGGAGTATCGTGGGAGATATTAATCGCGGGATGTGTTCCAACAGGTTAGGAAACAAGGGCTGTCTGCACACCGATGCCCACAAAAAGTTACAATCCATGTTTCAAGAATTTGTGTGATAGCATTGGAATTTATGTAATACACTTTATTATAAGTGATGGTAGCGATGATAACAATAGGAACATGTGACGAAATGTGTGTAACCAGGGACGGATTTGGTGCGTTGGCAGGGGGGAGGGGGGAAGACGCCCATCAACTTTTTTTAAAGGTATTTTTTATTTTTTTGGTAAAAAATTAGTTTTTTGTGTAATTTTTTTTTTCACGTAGTAGCCCGATTTGAAATTTTATATCCCAGTGTTGGATCCCTGTGGTAACATGATATTATAACAAAATGCATCGTGAAAGAAATTAAAGAAATAGAGAGGGAGTGTGTTCTAATATAATAGTAGAAGACCCTATAAAATATTGGGATAAAAATAAGATAGAAGCTAAATTAGAAATCATAAACAAAAATATAAAAATTAGAACAACAAAATCAAATATGTAAATCTAGACAAAAAAGATTTGGATTAATATATTTGTACCAAATAGTTTACCTAATGGTTTACCGAATTGACAAGTAGCGGCCTCCTATTGGAGAGGTAGTTGTGGGGACAGCCGCCCCTCCAATAGGAGGCCGCCACTTGTCAATTCGGTAAACTATTAGGTAAACCATTTGATACCCACAACCGTCTCTCCAATAGGAGGTCGTCACTTGTCAATTCAGTAAACCATTTGGTACTTGTAGCATCTTCTAAAAGACTTTAGTATACAAATTAAAAAGTCATTAGATTTAAAAGTAATAAAATCATCTAGCAATCAACATAACTTTTTTATAATAGTAAATCATAGTGAAATTAAAAAGAAGAAAGGCAAAAATTGTTCTAAATTACAATAAGACTAAATGATAATATTGTAAAAGATGGGTATAAAATATCAGATGAAGACATGTTAATAAATAAAATAAAAAATAGTAAAATATTTTCAAAGATTGATTGTAAATATGGATTTGAGCAAATAAAAATGACAGAAGACTTTAATCTTTGGATAACTTTTAATACACCAAGACAATTTAAATGATTAGTCATGCATTTTGAATTAAAAAATGCACCATATATTTTTCAAATGAAGGTCGATAGTATTTTTAACTCTTTTCCATTTATTTGTGTGTATATTGACCATATTTTAGTACGTAGTAAAAATCATAAAGAACATATGAAACATTTAGAGATAATTTTAAGTAAGTTCACAGAAAATGGGTTAATAATAAGTAAAAAGAAAATGGAAATAAATAAACCAAAAATTGAATTTTTAGGGATAATTTCAGTAGAAGGAAAAATTCAACTACAACCACACATAGTACGAATAATTTTACAGTTTTCAGATAAAATTGAAGAAACTAAAAAATTACAAGATTTTTTAGGAATGTTGAATTATACTAGACATTTTATTAAAGATTTAGGAACGAAAGTATGACCATTATATGGTAAGTTATCTAATAAAGGATAATAATATTTTAATTAATCAGATATAGAATTAGTTAAAAAGATAAAAAATGAAGTTAAAAATTTACCATAGTTTGAATTTACCTTTACATAGTGAATATAAAATAATAGAAACGAAAGAATGTGGACTAGGATGTGGTGGCATTTTATATTCTAAATCAAATAAATATAGTGATAAAAAGTAAAAAAATGATTTGTAGATACGATAGTGAAAAATATAAGATAAAAAGAAAATACTTGACTAGTTTAGATTATGAAATAAGGGACATCATACATAGTATAGAAAGCTTTGATTTACTTTTAAATGTTGAATTTACTATTAGAACAAGTTGTGATGCCATAGTAAAAGTTATTAAAAAGAGAAATTTTAATGAAATAAGTCATAAAAGATGGTTAAAATTGTATGAAATATTGAATAGTTATAAACTCAATATAGAATACATAGACGAGAAAAATAATATTTTGATAGATAATTTAAGTAGACAGGTTATAAATTTTCTAACCAACTATTTTCATGTTGCAGATGGATCAAATGAATCTAAACAAAAATCAAACAACATTAATGCTCTAACTAATCATTTTAGACAGATTTAGAATCGAGTAGAGGCAAAAAATTTTGTTTTCTTACATTAATTAAGAGTAGAAAACCTGGTGTATATAATTATTGGCTAGAAGTATTACAACAAGTTTAAAGATTTTCAGACCCCTTTTCGAAGGATTTTACATATTCGAAGAAACTTTAAATCTCTATAGAGAAATGATAGGATTTAATTTTTATATATTGCTACTTCCCAACCATCATGTTCATCTTCATCAATACAACTTTGTGATAATAGCGAAAATATGATCAAAGTTGTTAGAGATTTGAATTATAGAAAGCATTCATTAGAAAAATATTACAAATACCTGAAGATGAAATCTCTTTATCTCAGCAAGCCATTAGTAAATATCAAAAATTAGATTCTTTAGTTATAAGACAGTTTAAAAAGACTCATTTTCGAAAATATTGTTGAAAGCCCATCTCTAAAGATATTTCCTACACAAGTAGAAATTATTATAATAAAATAGAAAGACTTATTAAACTAACAGTCCCTACAGCTATAGGGCAAGAAAAAACTATATATGAATTAGAATAAAAAATTGACAATTGTGCTGGTATTGTTATAAAGAAATCAATCGTAAGGAGATAATCTACTTTTCTCAAATCCTAAGATACTAACATAGAAGAATCGATATTTCCTTAAGCATGCCCCCCAAACATGAATATTCGATTAAAAATTCAGCTTTCCTTAGACATAATTATTCTACAATTTTCTTTGACTACAGAATTTTTGAAGAATATATTTTTTATTCAGCCTTACAGTATGACATGATAGATACTATATATGCTTTAAATAGATCTTTCAAATTTTTTCCACCCAAACATAAACAAACTCTTAATTAGTTAAAAGATCACCGTCTAATGATTCAATTCATTTTCAAACCACTTGTAATAATGATATAGTAATTCCAACTTATTATTATATTCTAACATATGAAGGAGTCAAAATAGACATTCTTTGAAGACAAATACTAAAACAAAAATTAAATAGATTGATTATGAAAGACAAGTGTTCAAATAATGATTCTAGACTTGTAGCATAGTGGAACAATGGAGTTATTTTCTTTCAAAAACATCTTGCTATAGAAGTTAAAACATGAAAATTTTCAGTACCAAATATTCAACAGAAAGAGTTATAGTTGATGGCTTTTAAAGAAACAAATGACCATTATTAAGCAATGATAGATGGGTAGTACTCGAAAGACAATTATCAACAAAGAAAGTAAAAAAGAAAGAGTGTGAAGACAAAGTTTTCAAAAGAAACCTTATTATTTTCATATAGCTATAAAGTAATTTTTAATTCTTTAATTATGAATCACACACTTGTAAAGATGTCATTATTCGCTTTTCGAAAAATATACATGATGTACTAACATCTATAAATACCAATATCACATAAAAAGAAACACACACCAAAAACGCAGAGCACGCCATATAATATTAGTACTAAAAAATTCTCTCACAATCTTTGTAAATTGAAAGACTTCAAATTATTATTAAAGTAAGCTCTTTCATACTTTTTCTTATTTTATAATTCTCTTTTACTTTATTTATTTTTGTGCAAGGCCTAAAAGAGGAAATATCAAATAAGCAATTAATTTATTCAAAAGTAATTTATAATATTTTATTCATTTCTTAAACATATTTCTAATGCTCTTAACCTCTCTATCTTGGATTACATGGCCAAAAGATAAAGTAATATATTGGGTTAAGTTGGCTCTGATGTGTCCCAATTAAGGAAATTTGTTTAGGCCTTTTAAACACGATGAAAATATTTTTTGTTACTGTCTTATTCCTTTTTTAGAAAGTTAAGAAAAAAGCTAAAAGAGAATTAAAAAATAAAAGAAATTAATTTATTAAACGATAAAGTACTCTTAGACCATTATAAACATATTGTTTTTAAATTCTAATATTTTATGACATTACATAAATATACTTTATTTATTTTG